TCATTCAGGTGTCTTGACCCAGGGTGAGATCTAAAACCTGCAGGACACCGGCCCTCGAGGCCTGGAGTTCGACACCCCTGACCTACACCATCCTAGCTGTCAGATATTCTGCTGGAACTGGAATATTGTCAAGGTAGAAGGAATCATGAAGAAAGAATACAGACAGCATCGTCAGAAGGAAAGTTGATAAAATAAATAAAAATTTTGTATTGTTCGATACATATGCGTACCGAACCGAAAGCACTGTATCGAACGGTTCAATATCAATATGAGTATCGTTGCACCCCTACTAACTAGTTAAATACTGCAGGTTGGACTCTTATTTGCAGGACATGTACCTGGATTCGGAGCGTCCCTTTCACAGCACAACACTTTTGAACCAGAGTATTAACATCACAAAAGTGATGCACTAAGATTAGCGGCAGACAGCTGAAATAAGCAGATATGACTGTGATCGTTTCCACTGTGACTGACGACTTACTGGGAAAGCGTAAATGGTGAGAACTGCCGGTTGTGTCAGAGTTTACTGAATCCCTGAACCAATTTAAAAGATATAAATATACAGTGGAGCCAGCATGTAAATGAATGCATCATCACACTGCTTTTGGATACACACCAACAGTTTTCCTAAATGCTGTTTTGGGGCATTATCATGGTTGCATCGTTCACGTCACAGGCGGGGAATATCGTTCCCGCCAAACATCAGCTGTGATCAGTCAGGAATCTGTCACACACTCACACTGTGCTGTCAGTTCAGTGGCTGCATCTGCACCCACATTATGCCTTAATGTCACCCTTATTTCTTGTTGATGAATTCCACTGACTCAGCATTACACCATCACAACGACACCGTTGAACTTTTACTGAATGTGGAGAGAATAATGCAGCATTTACTCACTGGTGCAAGTCCAGGACACTCATACACTGTGAAATCTCCGTCCTCATTCTCCTCATCTGTTGAGGCTGCAGAGTCAGGAACCTTTGGCTCAACCCGGTGTCTGCGGAAAACACACACATATTCAGCAAGGATAACAGCGAGACAGGATAGAGATACGCATGCCAGGGTAGGATGAACATGTCTGTGCAGGGAGGGCGACTCACTTTTTCAGGGAGAGCATCTGTTGCTTCTGGTGCTGGTAGTGGTACATTTGAGCACTGTGGGCCAGCTTCTTGTCCCCAAGCTGGAAGTAAACAAGGGGTAGAGGGGAGATGAGAAGGTCCCTTCCTGAACAAGTAACCATCACAGTGGTGGACATGCAAGAAAGAGCCTCAAGCCCGAAGAGTTGGACAGCAACCAGACGCTGACATTATTGAAGCTAACTGCACTCCATGAGTGTCCATGGATGAGACACCCCCACAATAACTGAAGGCATGACAGTCCTGATTCCAAGGACCTTTCAGTTTTCAGGCCCCTCTTCTGTGGAACCAGCTTCCAGTTTGGGTTCAGGAGACAGACACTATCTCTACTTTTAAGATCAGGCTTCAAACTTTCCTTTTTGCTAAAGCATATAGTTAGGGCTGGACCAGGTGACCCTGAATCCTCCCTTAGTTATGCTGCAATAGACGTAGGCTGCCGGGGATTCCCATGATGCATTGAGTTTTTCCTTTCCAGTCACCTTTCTCACTCACTATGTATTAACAGACCTCTCTGCATTGAATCATATCTGTTATTAACCTCTGTCTCTCTTCCACAGCATGTCTTTATCCTGTCTTCCTTCTCTCACCCCAACCAATCACAGCAGATGGCCCCGCCCCTCCCTGAGCCTGGTTCTGCTGGAGGTTTCTTCCTGTTAAAAGGGAGTTTTTCCTTCCCACTGTCGCCAAAGTGCTTGCTCATAGGGGGTCATATGATTGTTGGGTTTTTCTCTGTATCTATGAAGCGCCTTGAGGCGACTTTTGTTGTGATTTGGCACTATATAAATAAAATTGAATTGAGAAGGAACCAGTCCCGTCCAACTCCTGGCCATAACTTGGCTCAGCACCACATGGAAGCTCCATCATAGCGGCTAAGATTAACAGGCACGTGGCTCAGCACATGAGTGGGTGCCAGGAAGGAAGAAACACCAGAGGGACAAAACCTTAACTATGGGTTGACTACAAGTAATCCCCTCAGTGCCCCAAACATGGATCCTGGAATGCCTACAACTGTAGAAATAACAGAACCTTAAGAATCTTCATCAGGAATTTGATAGGAATGTGGTGTACAACACTAGAGGCCAACCTTTAGCCAATAGCACAAGATTTACCGAGCTCAGGGGGCTCAGGGGGCTCAGGGGGCTTGGTAAATCTCTCAATACTGTTCTGTATGGGCCTCAGCCAGATCATTAACAAGGCTGCCTATGGGTACCGACTACAGAATGGAGCAGTTGTCAGCCACCTCCCTTACATGGATGACATCAAGCTGTGTGGCAGGAGTGAACCAGACATCGACTCACTGATCCACACCACTAGAATGTACAACAATGACGTGGGAATGTCATTCGAACTAGAGTATTATAGTCGGATGGTAACAAAGAGAGGAAAGGTACAGAACTGAGGGGATCGAACTACCAGAAAGCAACATATAGACATTGAGGACGGCTACTCAGGCAAATGGAAACCAGGAAGAGGCCACTAGGAAACCTGCAACCACCAAATACCTGCAGAGGGTCAGGCAAGTCCTGAGGAGTCAGCTGAATGGGAAGAACATACCCCGGAAATCAACACCTACACCACAGGTGTCGAACTCCAGGTGTCCTGCAGGTTTTAGATGTGTCCTTGATCCAACACAGCTGATTTAAATGGCTAAATTACCTCCTCAACATGTCTTGAAGTTCTCCAGAAGCCTGGTAATGACCTAATCATTTCATTCAGGTGTCTTGACCCAGGGTGAGATCTAAAACCTGCAGGACACCGGCCCTCGAGGCCTGGAGTTCGACACCCCTGACCTACACCATCCTAGCTGTCAGATATTCTGCTGGAACTGGAATATTGTCAAGGTAGAAGGAATCATGAAGAAAGAATGATGTATTTATAAAGATTTTTAAAGAACACCTTTATCATTCATCAGCAAAAAATGGGTCTGGATCATGACTTTGTCTTCCTACACAATCCAAAACAGATGAAGAACCAAAGTGAACATTCCTGACTGGCCTGCACAAAGACTTTACTTTAATCACACTGAACATCTGTGGGATTGAATGAAGATCACGATCCAGAAGAGTACCGAATCTAGAGGAGCTTGAGAGATTTGCCAAAGAAGAATGCACTGGGATCGTCTGTACTCCAAGATCCACCCGGTGTGTGTACTGTCAACTACCAGGGAGCAACAATACGATGGCAGACTCGAGACTGAACAATCTTAGAAGGAAAGGAGGAAGAAGAAGAAGAAGGGCAAGTGGACCTACAGCAGAGCACAGCAGCTTCCAGGAATAAGAACCAAAGGCAGACATCCACCAGGGAGTCTCTTTAACAGGGAAAAAGTCTGATGATGTCACAGTCGTGTGACCCAGTGTTTGAGTTTTACGTATTTTTTGTATTCATTTTTAATCTAGTTAAACTCTAGGTAGCTGTTCAGACCTTATTTCTTAGTTATTTCTGTCATCTCCGCCTGTACTCAGTCTCCCTGGTTCCTGCGTCTACGTTTCACGTCTATGTGGTTAAGTTCATGCCATGTTTTATCTCCATGTCTCCGTGTTTCCTGTTTTATTTTGTAAGAGTCTGGTGTTCTTTGTTCATTGTAGTTAGTGTTACTCTCCTCTGTATTGTCATTGTGTTTCATTCGAGTCAGCTGTGTTCTCATGTGTCTCCACTTCCCCTGATCGCCTCATGTGTGTATTTAAGTCCTCAGTCTTCCTTTGTTCGTTGCTTTGCCATTTGGTTTATGTTGTTTTTCATGCAGCCGCACGATGAGGTTGCATGCAGGTCATGTTCATGTCTGTTTCGTCACGCCATTTGGTTCAGTTTCCATGCATCTGCACAGCATTCTGTTCACGGTGGTCATAGTTATTCCTTTCAGTCAGGCTAGTTTTTCCAGTTTAGGTTTTTGGTTAGTTGCAGTCTCTGTCCCTGTTATGTTTTGTCTACTCCCTTCTGCATCAGCCCAAATAAAGGCTCGCTTTCAGTTTAAGTTCACTCCCGTCTCCTCGCCTGTGTTCGCGCCTGGGTCCACCACACACACTCTCCACACAGTCTGCCCCCGCTGGCCGTGACAGATGGTACTTTTCTGAATTCATAATTACATCAGTTTTCCCCAATCCATCCTAGAGCCTCCATCATGACTTTTTACAGATGCCCACAGAAGGTTCCTCTCCTGATCTCAGTATCTCTCACATACTGGTGATAACTTAAACCACAAGTGTTACATTTAGAGTCGTCATTTTAGAATTCACTGATTTTCAGCCTGGTTTTTATGTAGTTACTGTTACCTTACTGTTTTCTCCCTTATTTAAATCATTAAAGCCAAGTGCAATATATTTGAGTTTTCGAGGCGTCTACGTCATCAGTTTGCTGGATTTGTTTTAGAATAAATTTGATACATTGCAAAAAAAGTCTGATGTAGCAAATATGATAAAAATATGCAAAATACTACAGAATTTTTTTAAAAAACATTTTCCAAAAAATTTAATTTTCCAGTGATTGCTTCAACGTTGGGACTTCCCATATGGAAAAGAAATAGTAAAAACATATGATTTACTCATGAAAGTGGCCACTTTCTCATTACTTTCATATATTTTGTTAGTAAGTATCCAAAACATACAAGTTTCATTATATAATTTTTAAAGGGATCTTATATGTGTTTTCACTCTTGTATGCTTTTCATACAAGTTTCATACAAGACAGATACAAACTTTATATGATTTATATATATCTTTTCCGTATGGGTTTGAAGGGTTAAGAGCTGCTTCTGGCAAACAATTCTTTCATGGGGCTTTTCTGACGAGGCTCCTGTGAGCAGCAGGTGGAAACTGAAGGTCAAATATCTCAGATCCTGTGTTTCCTGTTTCTATACTGTTCATCAGATTTTTGTTTAAGGCGTTTTGGGTGTTTGGTTACATTGTTTACATTTATGCTCACTAAACAGCAGATTATGTACTGCATGTGGAGCATTGCTGGTAGAGTTTAGATCCTTGCATCGCTCAGCAGTGGAGACAGTGGTGATCTGAGACAAAAGTATTTTCAGTGTTTTCTCCCAAACATTTAGTCACATTGTTTCCTCACCAAATTCTCGAATGCCTGAGCACTCATCAGTCCAGATGAAGGGTAGTCCACTTTCTGATTCATATGAACACATTTCTGAAACCTGTAACAATAAAACAAAATAAACACAACAAAACACACACAGTGAAACATTTGGAGCTGACTGAGAAGAGCTGATGAGTTGTATTATAACACATTAACAGTGACACAACGTTCAAAACACATTATCTTATCAATTTCACAACAAGAGCCAATGAGCAGCTCTTGACTCTGTTGTTCCCAGTTTGGTTGGAACAGCTCAGCTCTCTGTGACTTACATGCAAACAAGCCACGAAGAAGACTTAAGAAACCATAGAGTACATTGCAGGTCTGAAAACTGTCTATGTTTCAATATTTTGTTATCTTTCAGATTCATTTAAAAATAGATTTTTTTTTCTCCATCAATCTTCACAGAACACGCCTCAGTAATACGTATGTGGAGTGTGGCACCCAAATGACTCTCAGACCATAAAAACCTCCATCCTGTAGTGGTGTAATGAAAGGAAGACTGCCCACAGTTTCCAACAACGTACTCCCGGGAAACCTGGAACTGGCAGGGATGGGTAGACTAGTGAGGGAAAGTCAATTCAGAAAAATATAGAAATGTGTGCTTCTATGTGACTGCCTCTTCTAGAGCGCTTAGGATCTCAGGGTGGGGCAAAGTTTACAGCTAAAACCCCAAAAACACTGGGTTAAGGACGTGTGTGTGTGAGCCTCAGTCGGTGTCTGAATCTAAAGGGAAGGAAAACACTTGAGTTTAAAGATTAAGACCTTTTGTCCGTACAGCAGTTTCCTGTTCTCTCTATGAGCACATTGAACAGCTGTTTCTTTGTCATCTCTTTTTAAGATTTATAAGAAAAACAATAAATTACATGGAAATACTGTAAATCAAATGGTTCCGATCACTTTAGCATCTCTAACAGAATGACTATAATGATGATGGATACGTCTACAGTGGAGCTGCAGGCCATCCTGTCCACTCCTGAGAGGGATAGTGGGGACTGTTTGGTTCATGCAGCACCTTAGAGAGAAAATAATAAGCTTACCTGACCCAACAAGCCAACGCTACCAGCAGTGCCAGGGTACCTGCCACAGTGACGACGCTGCTCATGACTGAGAGGAGAAACCAACAGACAGCATGAATGATAGAAGAGTCTGCTGGTCTGCAGACATCAGAGTAAGACATGATCCTTTAGTGAAAGCTTGGAGAAATGAGGGAAGCTGAAAGGACAGCAGCTAAGAATAAATAGATGTGAGTGAGTCAGGCCTGTTCCTGCACAGACAACAACATTGATAACAGTAATGCAGTGTGGCAGAACCAATCACAGCAACTTCTGAGGTCTGTCATGTCCTGCTTTAAACTCAGGTTCAGTCCCAAGATTTTAAAGTAGGCGGGGCTTAGTTTGACTTGATACACATGCCGTGATAACATCAGGACGAGTTACTGACAACTGTGTATTTGACAACCTTTGGTCCCATGAACTTGGCTGGAGGCTGAATTGTTGATTACGTGTGCTTGAGCGCATGTGCCTCCCACACCGACCATAGCAAATCCAAGTCAGCATCTCTTTGGGGAAATTCTCATCATCCCCTCTGGTTTTACGTATTTTTGTCACATGATTATGTCTGTTGGTACCAATGACGCGTGCACTTGTTTGAAGGTTTTATTGCAAATACTGTGCGTGTCCATTTTTGGCACAATGGTGTCCAGAGGGTGCAAAAATTTAAATCTGACACCAAGACACTAATGCAATCAAATGAGCTGTGTTGCTAATGTTTGACATATCCAAGCCCCACCTGTGGCCCATCCCCTTAATGCTCAGAGCATGGGAAATAATTAGGGGTTTTTTTATGTGTTTTTTAATGAATAACTTATAATTCAAATTTAAATTGGCACTGAAAATGATTGCATATTTGATCATTTTGATGAGGTCTCACGTTGATAAAGTGATTTATTTAAAAAGTGTATGTGTGAGGACTGTGGTTTTAATGCAGGTTACATTTTTGCTACACACGATTCTAGAGGGAAGTCAGTTTGAGGAGCTCTACTGGTTGATGATGGTCCAACTGGATTAAGACTTTTACACCAGCAGTCACAACCGTTTTTGCTCCACGGACGGTTTAATGTCAGACAATATTTTCACGGACACCTTTAAGGTGTCGCAGAGAAACACAACAAAATGACAACGACCGAGACAAAAACTGTGGTGTTTTGTAAATATAATAATAAACGTGTGATTGTGTTTTTCAAAGGGCACAATCACACGTTTATTATTATATTTACAAAACAAAGAAAGCAAACAAAGAAGCAGAGTCTGGGGATGAGGGGAATGACCCGCCAATTTC